TGCCATAGAAGCGATCCGTAGATGTAGAGAAAATGTAAAGCTGGGAATGTATAACTGTAACTGTCAAACTGTAAACATAATAAGTATAGGTAAAATGGTATGTAACTCAGTTTAGTGTCTGTTTTCTGCATTATAATTTATAATAAAAATATGAAAACCAATCTGCAAGGGTAAACAAACTTCGGCGTGCCGAAGTTAGCTTCCTTTCTTGTTTTAGTTTAAATTGGTGTGTGCATACATATGCTGTGCAAAATAAAGCAATTTGCAATTTGATTCTAACATATGTATGTATTTAAGTTCCCATGCCCAAAAGCCGACACCCAGTTAGAATTAATGCAGAAATAATGCTAATTAAAAAGGAAACTTCAATAAAACCATGAACCTTTAGAAATTAATAAGAAATGAATTTAGATTTTTTAGTAGGAAAGGGGGATTTTCTTTGTTTTCGTCTAGTATTCCTGGTGGATTCCGCTCGGAATTCTCCAACGATTTCTGCTGGATTCCGTTTGAAATTCCCTTAAGATTCAAGGCGGATTCCTATCAGAATTCCACTGCTATTACTGAAGGATTTCTCAGAGATTTTAGCAAGATTCGAGGAGGAATCCCGGGGAGTTCAATTTCTGGATGTGTACACCCCTTATAAGAAAAATTCTTGTTAGAGTTGTTTGAAAAATCTTTGAGGAGTCCTACGGAATTTCTTTTGAATCCTTTAGCAGTCCTAGGGGAATGGTACTGAAGGGTATATTTTTCCTTAATTAACTAGCTTTTGCAAATAGCTCTAAAATACGTTTCGATCAAGATCAAACTGTATACATATGTACATACATATGTACTTATACCAGTGGCGGATCCATTTCCGGTTTCATTTAAATCCGTTTATCTCGCCAAAAACGGCTCAACTTGACTGTCCAATAGAATAATTTTCTGTCAATAAGTTCAAAGTTAATTTATATTGAGATATAAATATTATTATAGTATATTTATAAAAATCGGACGGCTGTTTCATATATGTATGTACATACATATATGTATGAAGGATCATTAGAATTAGGGAAAATGTAAAGTTGTGAATGTAAAACAGTAAATATAGTATGTATAGATAAATGTAATGAAACATGATATTATATTTTGGGTTATTTATTTAATTTTTTTTTTTAACATCAGTCCTAAACGCAGAATGCAGTGCTCAGTGAAGACAGAGTCTCTCTACGCGAATTAAAGAAAGGAAGCTAACTTCGGCACGCCGAAGTTTGTATACCCTTGCAGATTGCAATTAACAATCGAGTCATTCTAGTTAAATAATTTTAAAAAAAAATACAATTTATAAAAGGTGTATATTTATACATAGCATAAATAAAATGCTGAAAACACACATAAAAAAGAGTTTCATAACATTTTACCTATACTTTTATGTTTACAGTTTGACAGTTACAGTTTTACATTCTCAGCTTTACATTTTCTCTACATTTACCGATCGCTTCTATCAGTGGCGGATCCACGGGGGGGGAATTAGGGAAATTGAGTATGAAAACACTCAACGCATGGTGACTTTTCATTTAAATCCGTTTATCTCGCCAAAAACGCCTCAACTTGACTGTCCAATAGAATAATTTTCTGTCAATAAGTTCAATTTCCCCCCCCAAGAATCGTCTCTGGATCCGCCACTGCTTCTATGGCAGCTATATGATATATTTTTATTCCAAAATTTAGAGTATTCGGGTTTTAACCAGAAACAAAAGCTATTATTGTTAATAAACTAAAATATAAAAAAATTCTTTGTTGCTTAAGACGGATCACAAACAGCCTTAAATTTTTGCTGAAATAAGGCTCAAAGCTTGCAGCCAAACATTGATGCACTAAAAAGATCATTCAAAAGCGCTTTGAGCTTTGCAGGGTGTTGCCTATTAAATGAAAACAAAACTTAACGTATTTTCCAAAAATTTAAAACTATACATACATATATGTAAAGTAATTTGTCCACTACTGCAGGCTTCAGCGAGCACCTTCGGTCTCACATACATATGTATGTATGTATATCAGTAGCCCTGCCTTGCGGATCCTGCGGGTCGCTCTCAACACCACCACGATGAGGTTATCTGATCAATATTCGCTACTTTTAAGTAATTATTTATTATTAATGTTAAATGTATAACTATTCACGCTCTTTCTGATTGTGAAAAAAGTGATGCAATTTCATAAAAACCATCGATTTTAAACCAAAAACATCAATGTTAATATGTATGTATGTACATATGTATGTATAGTCAAGCCTCTAGTAGAATCTAAAATTTTAAATCAATATGGTCAAACAAGGATTTACGGCCTCTTGCAAGGAAGGTCGCCCCAGGTGGGGCAGTAGAAAGGATATCTCAATGTACAGCTGTGTTCACGGAAATAGCAGTGCCCAACGACCTGCACGTTTAAGATCGGAAAATCCTGTTACAAACACTATTTTCATAAATTTTTTTTTCATAAAAGCTTAGTATATTTAATTATTAACAATACCACAATCATTTAATTTAGGTAACATAAACCCTTTAGAAGATATAGCTAATAACAACAAAAAAGGTCTATATTATGCCGATCATTGAAATAGCAGTGAAAAACTAAAATTCTTCATAAATTTAAAAATATCGTATAAGAAACCTATTTCTTCTTAAATTCTAATTGACTATGATCTAATATTTTGTTAAATAGCCTTTAGAAGCTATCATAACCTCATACCTTGGTGGCAAGAAGTCCACCAAGTCTTAGCAACGCTTGAGGGGATTATGGTCTCATTCCTCCTGCACAAATCGCCAAAGATGCGGCTTAGAAGTCGGAAACTTCTCTAATACGTAGCCCTTGATGTCCCCCATAAGTTTTCGATCGAATTTATATCCGGGGATTGTGCAGGCCATGGCATTGCATCCACTTTTCCATTAAGAACCCACTCCTTGGCCACCTTGATGGTATGATTAGGGTCACTGTACTGCTGAAATGCGCAAATTAATGGAATATTTTCCTCAGGATACGGCTGCAAGACAGTTTTTAATATTTAGACATAAACATAATGGTTTTTGATCCCACCGATTATATATACGGGACATAAAACGTTGTATGAAAAGTATACCCAAACCATGATTTTTAGGCCACCGTGTTTTACTGTCTTCAGCGTATGGTTTGGGGGGTACTATGTATTTGGAGGTCGACGGACATATTGTCTTGTCCTATTCCACCAAATAAAACCAGTTTGGAGTCATTTGTCCAAAGGATATTACGCCATTTGAATAGTGGCAGTTCAAGTGGCTATTGGCGAACTCGGAGCTGGCCTTGATATGCCTTTAACCAAGCAGTAACATTTTCCATGGACTTCGCGAATCTAAAATTTATTCAATAAGTCCCCGGCGAATGGTCCCATGACTGATTCCCATGCCAATTCCCGCTCATATATCCCTAGAGGATGCAAAAGGACGAGCTTTGCTGAAGCGAAGTACGCGTAAAGCCTGTATAATTGTGGTTTTGCGAATCGTACCTCGGTTTTTTTGGGTTCGGTTCATATTTTATGACTTATAAACTATTTTAAAAGAACAATTTGAAAGATTTAGAGACTCTTTACATGTTTTGCTCTTCTTTCTAGGCTAAGTAATCTGATACCTTTCTATCATGGAGCAGTGAGGTCCTGCGCCCACTAAAATAATTTTTTTGCGTTGTAAAGGTGTATTATAGTATAAACTATAATAACGACCTTAATTAAAGTCATTTTTTACAAAATTAAAAGAAATTTCGGCACTTTTTGCGAAAGAAAATTAAAAACTGCTATTTCAGTGATCGGCCAAAACGAGCTGCATATGTGAAAAATATCAATAAAACATAAAAATAGAGCAAATCTAACGGAATTTTTTCTCGATTTTTATTTTTATGTTCCTTTTTACAAAAACAATGTGCAATAGATCAGCTTGCAAAAAGGAATATGTACAAAAAAACGTTTTGAAGTTGTTCCTCTGTCGCACTGCTATTTCCGTGAACACAGCTGTATTAACTACCTGCAATAGAAAGGATATCTCAGATCCATATATACATACATAAGTGCACACATACATATGTATATACATACATACATACATACATACAAACATATGTATGAAGGGGTAAAATCATAAAGCTGCCATACGAGCGATCGGTCAATTTAAATCAGATAAGAACTAAAACTCTTGAATTTATTAATTGGAAACGTGATAATGAATCGGATTTTACATACAGCTGGCTTAAACCTACAAATGTACATTCATGTGTTGTACATATGTATAATGTAAATATATGTCTATGTATGTACATACATTTGTACATACATATATATATAGCTACGTATGTATGTACATATGTATGTATATAATTCTAAACTTGGCAACCAACCAATAAGCCAAAAGTGCACGGTAGGTGACAAGGGCGAACAAATTTATACATGAGCTATATACATACATATGTACATAAATACATATGGATTTGTGAACACGAATGCATCGGCTACTGAAAACCATAGAAGAACGCGTCAACGGATTTTTGTATTACACTCATTTTCTTGTTTTGTTCTTTCTTGTGTTCCGTGCGTGTGAGTGTGTGCGTGTGTGTATGTGGGCAAATGTGTGTATTAGCGTTGGAGCTGCTTTTCGCTCGCTTTTACTTTCCGTGGTTTGTGATTGCAATTAAACGCCGTTTTTCCATTCGAGCGCGAGCGAGAGAACGTCTCTCTGGAATGGAATAAAGAGAACGCCTGCGACCAGGCCTGGAACAACGTCGACGTCTGGGCCCGACTTGCAGATATCGGTTCAGTGGAGCAGCGACGCCGGCGCAGATAACGGGAACACTGCTGGCTAGGCAAGTCAACAGCCAGAGAGGGTGAGAGAGCGCGGAGAGGACCGAGCTGGCTCTCATGTCGAGTGCGCGTGATTTTCTGGCTCTGAAATGCGGGCTTGATCCCAACAGCGCAGCCGGCAGTGTCGTTGTCGCAGCGTCGCTCTGCTTGTGGCGGTGGTTGTTATTTTTTGGTTTTGGTTTTTAGTTGCTGTTTAAACCTGGTCGTGAGAGGGTAGCAGCCCCGTTTTCAGACGTTTCGTCACCCCGTGATCCCCAGAAAGAAAGCAAGAGTGAAGGCATAACGGTCGATAGTGCAGTGCAGTGACATCGGAGCCCAGCACCTCCAGCGCATCCTGATGGCCCCCGTGAGCGCCGCCGCTGCCGTTTCCTCGCCTACCGCCACCCACTCGCTTCAGGACATGAGTGCAGCCGCTGCGGCCATCGCGCTAGACATGAAGCCACGGGGCGAGTGCCATCCTTTGCTATCCAGCGCCGCCCTGCCCTCTCAGAAGATCAAGAAACGTACGCACTTATTTATAGTTTTCAACCCCATAGGAAAAGGCAGTATTCATTCCACAGTCTCATGCCAATAATGAAATTAAATAAGATCCATAGACTGAAGTTCCTATATTACTTTTACAATTATAAAAAGTCGACCAGAACCATTTTGATATTTTTGTTTTAAAATATTTATGAATACTACAAAATTTCGATGAATTTTTTCATTGCAAATATTAATCTTTGCACAACTTTTATTAGAAATTCCAGTCAACATTTTATACACTTTAAATTTGTTTAATTAAATTTAAATAGCGGTACGAAAAATATTTTGTTTTTAGAATTTGTATTATATTCGTAAAACAAAAAAATTTCAGATTGGATAAACACGTATCGTATATATTTTTTGCTTCCAAAAAATTGCTATTATTTACACTTATTGTTGGATTTTCTTCGATAATTATTGGAGAAAATTCTACGTAAAACTTCTTTATAATATAAATACAATAATATGGATTATGTGAAAGTTATGACAGAAGAATATTTTTGTTGCATATCTGTTTTACAGTGGTGCGCCGCAACGCCTCCGACAAGCTGAAGCTCATCCAGATGGTCCACGATAATCCAATCCTCTGGGACTCCCGCCTGCCAAATTTCAAGGGTGCCGAGGAGGAGAAAAGCCGCGCCTGGGAGCATATTGGACGCGAGTTCAACGCCCCCGGCCGCCGCGTAGCACGGGCCTTTAAGTCCCTTCGCGAGTCCTACCGCAGGGAGCTGGCCCATGTAAAGCTGATGGGCAACGGGTTTAAGCCCAAGTGGAGCCTCTACGAAGCCATGGATTTCCTACGGGATGTCATCAGGGAGAGAAAGTGAGTACAACGATCGCATGAAATTTATTATAATTTTTTTTTTACTTATCCTCATTTAAATACTTATTTTACGAATTAGAAAAGAACAGTTTCTCTCATTCGATTATTTTAGAAATCGAGCAAATGTGCTTCTAAAAAAATACCTCATTTGCAAACCAATTAACTTAGATTTTACAAAAAAGGGTAGAGGCCAGGCAAGAAAATTTGTTTACATATCGTCCATGTAGCTTGCTTCGAAGGTGTACACAAAGAATTGTACTTCGAAATCAAGCTTTTTTTATTAAAGTTACCGTACACACTACTCCCATGGGTTATTCATGTCAGGGAAACATTTGCTACTAATATTACATTGCGTTCGATAAGCAACCATCGATCGAGTCATAAGTGACGGTCAAAGTGCAGCTCAATGAATGTTATGATTAATAAATAGCCTTTTGGGCTCTTTCTGGGGCTTTGTGCATGGAATTGAAGACAGTAATTTTAGCTTTTGACATATCTTCCTGTTGTTGTGCAGAATTCGGTAGAAGTTCTTGTTGTTTACATAAAATGTTTTCTGTATTCAGCACCAGTGCAGCTCAATTTTCTTTAGATTTTTAATGAGTATGTCGAAGAATCTTATCATCTTAGGGATTGAGAGGCTTTTCGCATAAAGTTAAAACACAAATTCCTTAAAGCGATCTAAGCTCAAATTTTATTTAACTAAAAATGAAAAAGAAAAACGTACACAAGTTTATTTTGGATTTGGCACAGTTTGAAACCAGGGTGCAAAAAATTACGGTGGTTAGTAATATTGCAGTGCAATCGTCAGATCAAATATATTTATTACATGCATATTTCTGTGTGCGAAATAAACAAGATCCGCGTGTAAAGGATATATAAGAATGCTGTCATCCAATTTTGCAGCCCTTGCTCTTAGTCTCTGAAATCTGATGTTTCTTACGGACAGATTGACATGGTTAAATCGCCGCCTAATGAAGTTGATCAAGAATATATATATTTTATGTGGTCGGAGATTGCTTCCTGTGAGCTGCGGCGGATATCAAGTCCCTCTTGGCCCTGTCGATTTGCATAAATGCGCAGGAACTCTAACAAATCTCAGCCCTGTTGTCTGAGAAAAACATCTGCCCAGAGAAAAACAACTACAAAAACAACGCACAAGGGCATATGGACACTGGAAAGCGGTAATGTGGAAAAAACCAATGCGAACAAAGGAATGACCGCGCTCGAGACCCGCAAATGGTCTGAGTCGAGAGTCTGCCCCCGACCAATGTTCTGGCTCATATGGAGCCGTACCCGCTCTCTGCGCCTATGTATGAGTGTGTTGTACTTTATGTACATATTTATATGAAATAAGGCCATTTCCTTTCAATTGACTGTACCCACATGGGCAACAAGCAGTCGACGGCCCCGACACATGCCTGCTGGTGTGTGTGTGTACGTATATATTTAAATTTTTATTATTTCGAGCTGATAACAGACATCGCAACGGGCCCGGCCATTCGGACAGCGCTTGAGCCGTAGCCGGAGCCATTGCCATAGCCATAGCCATAAAACAGATCTCGCCAAGCGGCGAATATTATACAGCGGTGCGGCATCATCGCCACTTGAACCAAAAACAAAATTGAGGGAAGCTGCGAACGCAGGCGTTCTGACGGAGAAGGGCGAGGCGGCGAGAGAGCGATAAATTAATGAGAGCACTACAAAATGACAATCAGCAAAGAATACGGACCGCGACTTGCGAGTGGACCAAGTTTAGAACAGAGAGCGGGAGCGAATTGAGTGAGTGCAAGACATTGTGAGAGGGATAGGGGAGAATGTGTCTGCCTGAGCAATTGAACGTAGCGCTTGGCTCGGCTTCAGACGGGGTTAAAAATATGATTACGACCATTAGCTAGCTTCATCAGTCTGGGCTAAGGGGTTGCTCCGTCGCTGCTTGCGCCTCTGCCTTTGCAGCCGTTTTGGGTCTCCCCTCACCATTCATCGTTTTGCTCCTCTCTCGATCTGGTACCCACACAGGCACACACACGAAAGAGAGCCCATGGGTGTGTGTGAATGTATGCTGAGCTGGTCTGTGTCACGCTTATGATTTAATAAGCAAATGAGCTGCGAAATTGATGAAATTGTTGCGCACCCCTTATTCCCGAACACCCCTTACCATTCACTGGCCAAGTCCAGCACCACGCCCAAAAATCATCGCTTCGGACTAATTCCACCAATGCGTCACCAAGAGCAGTGGCATGTTGGAGCTCAGGGTCCTACCGAATACATACATACATATGTATGCATGTAAGAGTCAAGCCTATCAATAAATAATTACTCACAATAACGAAATCCCATATTTTAAGCCAACTAAAAATGTTTTGTGCAAACCAGGGATCGCAAATAAGAGTTATGAAAAAGTAAAAATTAACATATATGTAACTATAAAGATATAATTTAAAAGATTGGCATATATAATTAATCTAATTTTAATACCTTTCGTTTGAGTATATATTTAGTTTTTTTAAATATTAAATTCAGTATGCACATTTGTTATCATAAAAAGTTGCAAATAACTTTTTCCCTATTTAAGATTAAAGCCTTTTGGACTTTGTTATGATCGATTTCAATTTCGGCCCCTGGATACAATTGCAAACTGCAAGGGTATTAAATCTTTGGCCACCCGAAGTTAGGTTCTTTCTTGTTGTTTATTGAATCAGTAAATATTCGTCTTTTGTCCCAAATCATGATCTTGTTATGTAGGTTTGGCCACAAACAAAATCACCATTTCGATAAGCATATGTATATCAAATACACAGCCGCAGACTAGGAAAATGGCTTCAGAGCTAAGCCTTAGCGGAAACAAATATTGATAAGCCCAGCGACTCAAAACCAAAAAGAAACCAAACCAATTAAGGGACCTCAGGAGCCGCAAACAAGCAGATACATTCCCGATTGTGGATCATGTGAAAATGCATTTGAATGTGATTAGTCCTGAGAGAGAAGAGTATCGGCTTTCGAATTTCCCAGTTGTCAACTACCTGCGACGGCTTCGTCGCTAGCGGGAGGGATGATAGCCAAGTCAAATGGGCCAAGCTGCGTCATTTGGCGAACTCCCTTTTAACACAGATGGGGAAGGCCAAGAATAGCAACGTTCAGTCGTGTTCGGGGATAGGCAGCTGCATTGTCTGGGAAATGCTCTTGAAACTTGAGACGAAGGGACAGGAAACGGGTCCCGAACCAGGGAAATTAAAATTCTTTTTATGCTCTTCTTGCATTCTGTCTAACTTGCCTTTGGTTTTTGTTTGAACACGTTTTATAAGGAGTGGTGTGTGAATAATTTGAGATCAAAACATTTTCCAAAACGTCTAATCGCTACATTTACCTTTGCTTGGACTTTCGATCTTAGTTTTGTGAATAAACGAGTTATACGTTTGTAGAGGGTAAAATGTTTTTATTTAGATGTTCAGCAACGCGGTAAAGAAGACTTATCCCGCTTCAACGTGCAACTGTATATATGGGAAAACCGTTGAAATTCCTTACTGCTGTTTCCCAAGTTAAAACACATTGTACACAAAAAAGAGACTACAAATTTTTAGATAAATGAAAAAAATAGTAAATAAAAACTCCAATAGCTTTGTGAATCCAAAATTTAAAGTAATATCGGTCGAATATCGTATATGGTATGGCTTTTATAGCAACGGCTAGTTTAAAGTTCAATGGAATGTAAACTTCGACTTTCTAAAAATAGCTTTATAATCTATTAATTTATTTTTTACAGAGCATTAAGGTGTCAAAACTCCTAAGCTTTCAGAAATATAATTATACCATATATGTATACCGTTGGGTAAAAGGGTATTATAAATATCAGCCGCCCACATACAATCTTTTTGGTATCGGGTATTTCACAGTCAAGCGAACTCGACCAAAAACATTAGGTCGAGATTTTTTTTGAGATTGTCACAAACTAAAACGATATAAGATAATAGTGACAACGGCACCTAGAACGAAATTTATAAAATAAAATAGTTATAAAACAATAATAAAATAATAAAATATTTAACTAGTTTTTGACACGTTAAGAAACGAAAACAAATAATTATGAGTATTACATAAGTAACTCAAAATAATGTATATTAATTTTGATCATTTCAGGGGAGCTGCGCATGCCACCGATCTCAGCTTGAGCGCGTACGCTCAATTGCATAATAATAATAACAATATTAATAATAACACCCAATGCGTCGTGGGAGCAACCGGAAAATCAACGGGCCTGAAGGTCTCATCGTCCTTTACCGAGTCAGCTGCAGCGCTCAATCTCTCTAAGTGCTCATCGCTGAATGTGAGCGGCGACGACTACTACTGCGATTATTACGTGAAGCCAGAGCTGGATCTCTCGGCGGGGGGCGGCGCCGGCAGCAGCAGCAGTGCCAGTAGCTCTGGTGGAGGAAGCGGCATACCACCCACTTTGCCGCTTCCCGCCCATCAGCACCAGGCGCCCAACGACAGCCGGGTCAGCTCGACACGTAACGAGCACCAACGCCATCAGCGTAATTATGAGGACATGGATGCCAGCTCACTGCGCAGCGGGGATGAGGACGCCGGCCACGGATCTGACGCAGTGGAGGAACTGGACGCTATAGACGCTGACTTTCCCTATCCCCTCATTCTTGATTCTAACTCGCCGGTGGGTACCAATGCCGTCGACGAGGTGGGCCTATCTTGCAAGCGGCGTCGCAACGGCGACCAGGACGGCCTGGAGGACGGAGATGCTGATGCTATAGCCGATGGGGACGACTACGAGGATCAAATGTTGCAGCAACACAGACACTTACGCCAACAGCAGAGCTCTGCTGTCCCAGAAGGGTTGGATCTGCCACCACCGCAAACTGTACGCGAGGTCCTCAACTCCAAGTTCTGCGGATTCATCTCGGCAAAACTGAACAGCATGGAGGATTCAGAGGCGGACAACCTAATGAACCGTATCCTCCTGTTGCTCGTGCAAATGCAACAGTGCGAGGGGGCTGCCAAGTAAGGAGCCCGTCGAAAAGTTGGCCGAATGCTCTGGGTGTAGTTTTAACAGCCAAGAAAGGCGCATCATCCTTGATGCAGCTGCTCAAAGCAAAAAATTGTGGACAATTTTCTACCATAACCCTTGCCATATAATATGTGTAAACCTACTTGCCAATACCAAATCAGTGCCATACCAAAAACATCAAAGAAGCAACTATAAAAATGGTTAAATCAATATAAAAAATTCCTCTGCTCTCATTTACAACAAAGAACTTATACTTTAAGAAAAGACAACAAATATAATTAGAAAATGTAAGAGATTAAGTATACTACGAGGTAAATGTTAATTTCGTTTTAGGTCGATCAACCGTAGATCAGTCATACATTAATGGCTAAACGCCTCATCACATGAACTATACTTTTACAACGAACACACTATGTATGCTGATCATCTCGAGGATCTTATTAGATTTAAGAACTAAACCAATACAAATTGTTTCGAATAAAGGAAAAAGATTTTTTGTGGTTAGTTTTATATTGAAATGTAAAACGGCGTTTAAAATCCGTTATGAAAATGTATAATAATCGATATAAACGGCCGTACTTTTTGAAAAAAAAAAACGGCTAAATTAAATTCAATTTGAAATAAACTACAAAAACTGGTTAGATATGTTTTTAATCTGCCTCAAATGAACTGATTAAAATGTTTATACCTTTTATACCCTTGCAGGGTATTATAATTTCAGTCAGATGTTTGCAAAGCAGTGAAGGAGACCTTTCCGACCCTATAAAGTATATATATTCTTGATCAGCTTCAACAGCCGAGTCGATCTACCCATGTCCGTCTGTCCGTTCCTACGCAATCTAGTCCCTCAGTCTTTAAGCTATGTAAATGAACCTTTTCATATAGTCTTCTGAATACTCTCACTGCAATATATGTCGGATCGGACGACTATATCATATAGCTGCCATACAAATGATCGATAAATTTTTAGAAAAAAAAATTGAACTTGGCTTTTTTTCAACATATTTCTGTCATTTTTGAGAACTGGCCATTTTTTATTATTTTAGAAGTTCGGTTTTAATTTTATGAAAATCAAACGACTATTTTTATAGCTGTCATAGGAACGATTTAATATAAAAAAATTAATATTATAATTATCAAGGTATTTTTATCTACTCTGAGATATGATCTTTTTTTATTATTTCAGAATTTTGGTATAAATTTTTTGAAAATCGGACAACTATTTCAAATAGCTGCCATAGAATCGATCGGTAGATGTAGAAAAAATGTAAAACTGTAACTGCCAAACTGTAAACATATTAAGTATAAGTGTTATCAAACTCTGTTTTGTGCGTGTTTTCAGCATTGAAATTTATAATATAAACATCAAAATTAAATTATTATGTGCTATGTATAAAAATACAACCTTTATATAGCCTTAAATTTTTTTAATTTTTTTTAAATTTAACCAGAATGGATCTATTCTTAATGATCCAATTGCAAACTGTTTTCTTCTTTTCCATTAATTTTTCTTAATAATCCAATAGCAAACTGCAAGGGTATTCAGCTTTCTTTCTTGTTTATTTATAAAATATCAAAATTTAGGTTTGAATTTTTATGCCCTTCCAGGGTAATATATGTATATATTGCTTTCTTGTGTTTGAAAATATAGATATAGATATTGCCATTTTTCATAATTTTAGAATTTAGGTTTATCATTTTATGAAAGTCGTGACTATATCATATAGCTGCCATAGGAACGACCAATAGATGTAGGGAAAAGTGTAAAGCTGCGAATGTAAAACAGTCAATATTATATGTATAGAAAAATGTAATGTAAATTGATATTAAAATTGTTTGTCTTAATATTATTAAAGTCAAATTATTATATTCTCTGCTAATGCTAAGTAGGGATTTAGTTTGACAGTATGATGCCATTCAATTCTAAGGTTTTACACAAGTTATTTAAATCGCAACGGTTTTGGTGCTGAATATTACTAAGTCGCGAAGCCTGATGATGATTGAGTTGTCGTTTGACACTTTATCTTGGTACTCCGCTTTAAAATCACAATACATATATGATTTGCTACATTTTCATGGGCGCGCCGCCCTCTGGGTGCTCATCTTTACCACGAGTTCTATTGTTTGTTACAGACAAACGGACACGGCTAAATCGACTCTACTGAGCAAGAATTTACTTTATAATTTATACTTCATACGACTTGAGTTATGCGGCGCAAGGTCCATACGTACTGAGTATATAAAGAAAGATGGCTAAGTTGTAGGGAACTAAATGTGATGTGTGCTTATAAATGAAACTGGATCGCTAGATTCAACAAAGCAGACATACATACGTACATATAGGTTCATACAACCACGCATGCTTGTTTACAACTCCTGAACAACCCTTATTATGGGATAAGTTATTGGGACCATAAAACCCCTAGGAACGGAAAAAATTGCCAGCATCGCCGAAAATTGCAAAACTCCGCCACGGACAAAACTGGTTTTTGAACAAAAAGGTTCATTAATGCATTGTTAACCTGGTCCTTAAGGGATGCTGACTGGGATATGGCCTAAAATAGGGTTCAATGACCACGGCCCATAGACTTAGCGAATGGAGGCCAACAGGAGAGAGAACGTTGAAACAGATTGAATCTTTATTTATCTTGAATTCTTTAACTTATTTTACTTATTTTGTGAAAGCGCTAAGTTTAAAGAAAGAAAAAAGACAATACCAGAAAAGGTCTACCAAGATGCTAAAATTAAAAGACTTTAAACATGTATCACTTTAATTTATATTGCTTAAGGAGCGTAATTAAAAATTTTGTACCTTTCAGGGTATTATATTTTAAATCTAAAGATTGCAACGCAGTAAAGGAGACGTTTCCGACCCTATAAAGTATCAAAAGCCGAGTCCATCCGTTCCTTCGCAAACTAGTCTCTCAGCTAATTTTGATAAAATTAAAACCAAAATTCTTAAGCAATACAAAATACGTAGATGAAAATATCTTGGAAAACAGCGAAGCTATAATTTTTTTTTAATAATTTTTCTATGGCAGCTATGTATATGATTTAGTCGTCCGATCCGACCCGTTCCGATTCATATACTAATGAGAGTAGTCAGAAAACTGTCTGCAGTTGTTCCAGATAGTTTCTAAACTGAGGGACTTGTATTCACAGAAACGACAAAGGACGGACATGGCTAGACTGACTTTGCTTTTGATGATGATCTAAAATATACTTTATGGGGTCGAAAATGACTCCTTCACTGCGTTGCAAACTTCTGATTAAAATTGTAATACCATGCAAGGGAATAAAGAACATTGTAGATTGGAAATGGGGAAGTAAATGGAAAAAACCAGATATAAGACTAGATTAGTAGCTCGAGGATTTACACAAGAGTATCTTATAGATTATGACGAGACAATTGCTCCTGTTGCAAGAGTATTTTAGTTTTTATACCCTTGCAGGGTATTATAATTTCAGTCAGAAGTTTGCAACGCAGTGAAGGAGACGTTTCCGACCCTATAAAGTATATGTATATATTCTCGATCAGCATCAATAGCCGAGTCGATCTAGCCATGTCCGTCTGTCCGTTTCTACGCAAACTAGTCTCTCAGTTTTAAAGCTATCTGAATGAAACTTTGCATATAGTCTTCTATATACTCTCACTGTCTGAACGGGCCGGATCGGACGACTATATCATATAGCTGCCATATAAATGATCGATACAATTTTAGAAAAAAATTATAATTTGGCTGTTTTTTAACATTTTTGCATCATTTTTGAGATATAGCGATTTTATATTATTATTCGGTTAAAATTTTATGAAAATCGGGCGACTATATCTTATAGATCCATAGAAACAATCAAGAAATTAATAGAAAAAAAATATAACTTCGTTGTTTTCCAACGTATTTTCATCAAATATAAGCTTAGTTTAATATTTCAGAATTTTGGTATAAATTGTATGAAAATCGGACAACTATATCAAATAGCTGCCATAGAATCGATCGGTAAATGTAGAGAAAATGTAAAGCTGGGAATGTAAACATTTGATTTTGCAACGGAGTTTGTTCTAGAGACGCTACTGTCAGTTGGTATATAGCTTTTCTACACGTATTCTACTATGCTCCACAAATATCGTTTATGAATACATTGAATATAAACAATTATTTCAAAGTTAGAGACGATATTGCCGTTTATTTAACTATTTGGCCTTATGGATTAATTAAACAATTTAAATATTATAATCTCAACAAATTAAGTATCCTAATGATGACAAAATAATTAGTGCCCATCAAACACTTTTTTTTTAATTTGATAACAATTGCACATTAAATCTATGTATGGTTTGCGGCTAGGGTGTGGTTCCATACCATCATATATGTATAGGTACATATATCTGATCTTACCAGCACTGTTAATATTTTGAAGTAAGCAGCTAAATGTCTGTGGCTGTAATTTCGGATGGAATTGGTTTACATCTGTTATAGTTTGTTTACGCAGGGTCAGTAAATGGTCGTCATTATTAAGTCCTTATGAATGGTAATGGGTTGCACGGGAGCTTAGTTCGTGCTGTCTTTATCACTCCTCTCTAGCTTTTTTCCTCTCTTGGGACTACCCCTGCAAGTATACTTCCATTTTGAATTCAAACTCTCAATATCCGAATTACCCGACCAGATCTCTGAGAGATAGCGTACTTTTGGCTTCTCCTTCGGCATATTTTTCACATTTTCCTGTTCAATTATGCCAAAGGGAATAATCTTTTTTGTGTACGCATTGGACCTTTCAGTAGTATCCGCCTGAAAACAAGCTCCTGTGGCATCGGCCAGGTCTTCTAGACGATCTCGAAGCTGACTGATTATCTTTTGCTGTTTGACGCGAACGTTGCCTAAACTGGTTGAGTCACAACGCAGACTGGGAAGCTCACCCGCTGGCATGCAGTTACGCCCATCAACTCCCTGGGTCGCCATGTCCTCCAGCTCTTTGAGCAAATAATTCTTTTCGCAGGTCGTTGCCGACGATATCTGGCGCAAGCGAAACTGAATCTTAGCATACTGCGAAGATATCGTGAAAAGTGCCTCTTGCAGATGCTCCACGTCATCTTCGAGCTGGCACTCGTAAGCGGTCAGCTCCCGGCTGACTAGTTGGCCATTCGAGTCAAGTTCGGTGTATAGTCGCATATTCCTTGACAAACCGCCGTCGATATTCGATGTTTTTTCGGCTCCATTTTTATGTGTAGTATTCATCTTCAATAGAAATTAAATTTAGCTTGAAGTTACTGAAAGTGATTTGAATTTCGAAACGACAAAATGTAATTTTAAGAGACTTAAAAGTAAATGTGAAGTTTTCAGAACTTACTAAATAAAATAACAGTATTATATTAAAATTGTCCAGATCATAATACAATTATAAAAAGTAGTTTTGCCGAAAAAAAAAGAGTTGTCAAAATAATCCCCTCAACCCGAACGATTTGAAAGGCGAAAAGACTACTTTTTATAATTGTATCATGATCTGGACAATTTTTATATAATACTGTTATATTATTTAGTAAGTTCTGAAAACTTCACATTATTTTGTTAAATATTAAAGCTAATGGGAATTCAAACAAGCATACATATGTTTATCCGATTTGTATACCTACTTTTCAAGTTTGCAACACAGTAAGGAGTAATTTTCGACCTTATAAATCATACATATATATTCTTGATCATCAACAACCGAGTCGATCTAGCCAGTAGCGCCTCTCGAACAAAAGCCGTTGGAAAAATAGGAAAATTCATAAATTCATAATCGCAACATCGTTTTAAGCCACACAAATTCGACAGAGTATTTCCCAGGGACTCCAAATCTGTAACCAAAAAAATTTTCAGATTTTTTTTGTGGAAGATATGAGCATTCAAACTCGAAATTGTTTTCCGTGTATGCGTCATACAACAAAAAATAGGTAAATTAGTCGACTTGCAGGTATAATTACACAAAAACTACATAACCAATGGTCATGATTTTTTTTTTTTAAATGACAGTTTCATTCATTAACTCTTATCCACATTTAAAAAATTTTTGTTTTGTGTTGGCTTGTACAGGTAAATCGCTACCTGCCAGGTGTCCATTATTTTCACCTTTTTCTGGCTAAAGTAGTCTATAACTTCTGAAGCTGCCCAGAGCCGACAACTACATGCTCACGGTTCTGTGGCGGTTAAACTTAGAATAAAACAAGAAAGGAAGCTAACTTCGGCACGCCGAAGTTTATATACCCTTGCAGATTGGTTTTGATGTTTATACTATAGATTTAAATGCTGAAAACACTCACAAAACAGAGTTTCATTACATTTTACCTATACTTATTATGTTTACAGTTTGATAGTTACAGTTTTACATTCCCAGCTTTACATATTTTATACATTTACCGATCGCTTCTATGGCAGCTATATGATATACATAGTTGTCCGATTTTTATGAAATTTATACCAAAATTCTAGAATAATAAAAAAAAAAGCGTATATCTCAGAGTAGATAAACATACGTTGAAAAACAACGAAGCTATAATTTTTTCCCTATTTATTTCTCGATCGTTCCTATGGCAGCTATATCATATAGTCGTCCGATTTTCATAAAATATTTACCGAAATTCTGAAATAATATAAAATGGCGATATCTAAAAATTATGTAAAAATGTTGAAAAATAGCAAAGTTATAATTATTTTTCCAAAAATTTATCGAACATTTGTATGGCAGCTATATGATATAGTCGTCCGATCCGGCCCGTTCCGACATATATAGCAGTGAGAGTATATATAAGACTATATGCAAAGTTTCATGCAGATAGCTTTAAAACTGAGGGACTAGTTTGCGTAGAAACGGACAGACGGACAGACGGACATGGCTAGATCGACTCGGCTATTGATGCTGATCGAGAATATATACATATACTTTATAGGGTCGGAAACGTCTCCTTCACTGCGTTGCAAACTTCTGACTGAATTTATAATACCCTGCAAGGGTATAAAAAACTATTACATTTCTTTGTTGCTAATTTCGGGGATGCTTTCCAAAAGCTGAATCACCTCGTCATCCAAAGCAATATACTTTTTTGAGAACGCGTAAGTACATTTTGACATCGATGATATTAGCGGGTCTGATGTCAGTAAAAGTGAATGCATAAGGTCTTCCGTCGTATTTATTCTCGACGTTTTTCGAAGCTTTTTCAGTTAGCACAATAGACTCATTTAGCCAATTTTCATTTTGTTTTTGAAAATATATGTGGTTTCTACGGCATTTTTATATATAAAATATAATAAGCTATAGGGTAGCAGCTAGTAGCACCTCATTTTGACACTGGACGATTCACAAAAGCTAATTCTAAAAACACAGAAAGTCACATGGAGTCACAAGTTCTACAAAAGCACAGTTGGCGTCAGATTTTATCCGTACTAACTTAAAATGAATTAGATGACGAGGAATTTGAGTTTCTCTAATGATTTTTCTCTAACAAAGAGCAAATTCCCCGATCAGTGTGTATAGGTGGAATAAGCTTCCCAAATCTTTAAAATAATGTAGAGGTAGGCGTGTTATATTAAATAGTAGCAATAGGGGACACTTTGGGCAAGAATATACAAAAAAAAAAAAAAACGCCAACAACTATTTTGGGCAGGCTTGTAGCTTAGGCGCCATATTTTAATTTCCATATTTCATTTGTTCCTAGCCAAGTTTGTTTACATTTTCGTAGTGTTGGTCAAATTTTCACTGTTAAGAAGAAGAAATCAGAGTTGCACCGAAAGCTATCGCCTAACTATCGCCAAACAAACCGCGCGCGGTTAGATTTTAATGCGTTCTAACCGGGGTCCATTTGAGAAAATTCGGAACCGCAAAACCTTAGGGACCGTTTGTTCAACGGACGGTGAATGTGCTTTATGGTTGTGTGGGAAGACCCTATAAAGTGTTAACACCAATAATTTCGAGTGGGAAATGTTGCAAAACGTACGTACACCATAAAACAATATTTAAATGACAAAATTGATGAATTATAAACTAATTTAATTTAATAGCAAACCTTAGGAACATATTTTTAAGTAAAGGTTTAATAATAAGATTATTGTTCACACATACAAAAAAAATACTATTAATAGGATCAGAATTGAGCGTGCTTGCGACAATATCTAGAGCTAGTTACTTAACCGGAAGAAAATATGCATAATTTAGGTAAAATAAAGTTTTGAGAAGCAAGAAGAAAGTTATTGAAAGGGGACAGTGTGAAAAAAGGAGAGAGATTTGTTGCTTGCGAAGTCTTGGTGTAATTGGGCCCGCATTCCCACCCTACCTTCGACTACCTCCTGCTAGAGCATAACTCTGGTAATCCCTTGTATACCCTAGGACCGCAGAGACATCAGCCGAGTTCAGTTAGGTAATTGTTTAACCCTCTAGTGTCCAAGACCGCCTCTAGACGGGTATTGTTAAAAACACCGATATTTTATTCTTTTCATTCCGTTTTACTCGGTTTCGCATTTTTTCTAATTCGGGGAAGTCCAAAAATTAGGTTCGTTGCGTTTGGAATATACACTAGAGCTTGCGCAAGCTGCTGTATTCATTTGAAGCTGAAAATTCGTGCAAGTCGGACGAAAAAATTATTTTGTACGAAGTGCAAAACATAAATATTTTTTAAAAATATTATAAAAAGTTTGCTGCTGGAAAAAAAAGCAATAAAAGCAATAAAAAGCTAACGAAAACTTTTTTTTAGTGTGGGTTTCGTATTTTGCGTCCTTAAGACTATAAGCAACACGGTATTAATTTTGTGTTGCTTATAGTCTTAAGGACGCAAAATACGAAACCCACACTAAAAAAAAGTTTTCGTTAGCTTTTTACTGCTTTTATAAAGTATCCCGTCTAGAGGCGGTCTTGGGACAATTCGGGAAAAAAATTTATAAGGTAAGATTAAAAGTGAAACAACCTATAACATATTTAAGTACATATAATTGCTTCTGTAGACATGGAACGACGACAAGGGAATAAGCTATCAGCTCTTTCCGACGTGGAGATTGAAAAATTGTTAAATTCTATTGAATTTGATATTGATACGGATGGAGAAGAAGAATTGGAAGACGATTTGACTGATGATGTTTCCGAGGCAGCGCTTCCTGACTCTGAGCAAGATGAAGGGCCTATTGAACAAGTGCTACATATGTCGGATTCTATGTTGGCTAGTGAGATTTGTGTAACTTCAAGCGGAAGTCCTAATCCTTTTGCAAAATTGTTGTCTCCCTCAAGTTCGATTCCGTCCAATTCACCTCAAGCTCAAAAACGAGAACGTAAAGCGCCTGCTGAGCATAATACTGCTGATGTTAAAGAAAGCTCAATAGCTGAATGTGGATCTGTTTGGACTATCGACCCAAAAGCACCGCTTTTTAAAAAGATGTTGTGGCGCCAAACGAACCTTGTCATGGATAAATCTGCAATATCCTTTAATGAGCCTGACCTCGGAGAACTTAAAAATTTGGATACGCCATTCAAGTGTTTTCAATTTTTTTTTTAATGATACTATTATTGAACATATCACCCAGCAAACAAATTTGTATGCTGCCCAAAAGGACGTCAATACTTCGTTTTCCACAACAAACTTAGAAATTCGACAATTTATTGGCATTCTATTTTTGATGTCAGTTTTTCGCTACCCAAATATTCGTTCATATTGGGGGGAGTGCGCATTCGGAGCAATACAAAACACAATGGCAAGAAATCGCTTTGAAAAAATACGAAGTAATTTGCATTTTAATGATAACAGTAAGTTGCCCTCAAAGGATTCTGCCGACCACGATCCTTTATACAAAATACGGCCGCTCGTGAATCATTTCAATGATAAGTTTCAATTAGTTCCGATGCGCCAACGCTTATCTGTGGATGAACAAATGTGTGCAACGAAGATGAAGACCTTTCTTAGACAATACTTACCAGACAAACCACACAAATGGGGAGTGAAATTCTTCAATTTGTGTGACTCTTCTGGCTTTTGCTATAATTTCGAGATATATTGTGGAGCAGGTGACAACGTTGTTCAAACTGGCTCACCAGATCTTGGTGCGGCAGCAAATGTAGTTGTTCGATTGTCACGCAATGTTCCGGATTTAAAAAATCAGATTATCTACTTTGACAATTATTATACTTCGTTGCCGCTTCTTGTATATCTCAAGTCCCAGGGAATATTTTCTTTGGAAACTATTCGCTCGAATCGCATTCCAAATTGTAAGCTGCCAACTGACAGCGATCTCAAAAAACAATTGCGTGGATATTCCACAGAATTTTGTGGATCTGTATCAGGAGTGGACTTACGCGGGCA